TTCAACTTTTATAAATACAGCTGATAAATTCATATTCTTCTTCCTTTATATATCCTATATCCCACAGGATAATTTACCCAGATAAATTCAGATTAATAATAAAATTAAACCAAAACAAAAAACTAAGGTTAGTTGTTAGGTGCTGTCAATTTTTAATGTCACTTAGATGTGCGTTCACTTCGACATTCTGTATGTAGGTTTGTTCGTTGGCTTGGTTTTGTATAACAAAAAAAACTTCGACACAAGCTGATTGGTCTATTCCCGATGACGTATAATTTCAAATTTTAAATTTCAATTGGGCTTAATTTAAAAACTTTTAGCTTTTTTAAAGAACTGATTATTTAGAATAACTTGTATAGCGACTAACTATTACAACATAGTTTATAAAACAGCATATCTCACATGTGAACATGGCCCATTAATAAAATATTAACAGTTTTTATTTGGCGATTTTTTGTAATTTTTTTTACCTTTATAAAACGATAACATAAATATTTGTACAAAGTAATGCGATTTCTAAGATCTGGTGTGGGAATACCCGAAACAACATGTAATGACAAAATAAAATATCATTTTTTAATAAACACAGTACGATCGAAGGTTCAATGGGTCAAGCATAAACGGAGGACCTACGGCATGGACGTCGGAAGAGGGGAGGGGGCACAGTAGGTCCGTTGTTTATTTGTAAAGAACCTATTAAAATATCAAATGCTCAGAAATATTTATTATATTCGACTTTGTCTCTTGCTTTTTCCTGTAAATATTCCCATAGACAGAGAAATGAGGGGGGAGAAGGAGGAGGAGAATCTACGTTGTGAGAACTTACTAGCAAAAGATCTTCCGGACTTAATACGCAGGGTTTAAACAAAAAACAAATAAGAAAACCTCTGTGTTTCACCGAGCGACAAAGTTGAGAGCTTTTGCTGAGTTCGTGTAAAAAACTCGTTAGAGCAGGAGTAAATTTGATCACGTAACATCGGAGTTAAAGAGTTAATTGTATTAATCTGAACGCTACTTGTGTTTAGGAGTTTGTACATAATAATTAATAAACATAATCCTATTTTTGCGCTTGCACACACACACAATTTAACCTACATATTCACAACATGGAGAAAAAGAAAAGATAAATATCCACAAATCGCAAAACAACGAACAGGGTATTGATTACTGTCCAAGCTTGCTCCAGAGTCATGCCTCGCTAAGGTGGTGCAGGATAATTAACTACATGTACTCTGGTCTATCTAATTTAAACGTAATGTAGTTAACGTGTAATTTGAACGCGGCAGAGTGCGATAAAGTGATTCCGCGTACGCAGAGTGAACTCTTCGAACTCAGCATTTGTTGCTCGCTTAATTTAAATTAACTATAATATAATAACATTTTTCTACAGCCACATGTATACTAGCTTATCTACGCACAGATTACAAAACGAAAAAGTATGCTATTGCCTTTAACTGAACGAATATATTTCATATCCATTCTAGATAGTGAGAACACTGCAAAAAATAAAATCTACTAATCATAGTTCATATTTTGATCAACCGACTGCTATTGTTTTTAAAATTTTAAATAAGTGGCAATTCTGTCAAACTAATTGTCAGTATATTTTTTAGTAATCGAGATTAAACATTCATTAAAATGAGTTATTCTTGTGTAGAATCCATAAATAATAAAATTTATATTTTTATTTCGTCTATAATTTGTTAATTTAAACAAAACTATATGAAGTCAATTTAACTACGAGTATTAAAGCAAAAAAAAATGAACGCGTAGAAGAAATAAAGTTATAAACAGTAATGAATCCAGAAGCCTTTGAAGGCGGGAGGGAATCGTCGACATTTCATTCTACACATAACAAAGATGAGAGAACTTCATGGTGCCAGTCCATCCGGCGACCCTCAAACTATCAAGGCCATAGTGCTAAGATATTGGGGGTAATATCACAGAGAAGTCTAGATAATACGTACTATGTTACTCTATATTTGCTATATACTATTATGTAATTAACAAGTAAATAAAAATTTTATGTGTGTATGTATGGTTCTTGCCTTCCATGCGGAAGGCTGGAGTTCAAATCTCAGATGGAGAAAAATTAAATGAATTTTCTTTCTTTTTTTCTTGTTTATTTTATTTTATAAATTAGTAAAAGTCATAAATTATTTTTAAATTAATTAATTTATCCTAATAACTTAAAATAATTTATAATATTTAAGATTTTCGTTAGTGGGTCGTAGAAAAAATATATTGTACAACTCGAGTGAATTATCCATATCGCACTCAGATGATTGAGCACTCCCCCTACGGCGTCGTGTTCAAATTTCGTCTTCGTGCTATATGGCCATCATATCCACTCTTGTTGCACAGACTGCTATTTTAGTCGATACCTATACCTATTAGTCTAAGATCCGAAGTAAGGTCGACCTTCACCCATCTGTTTAATGGATGAAAGTTCCTTTTTATTACATAAAATATATTTATAAATATACCGCAAATGGGTTGCCTAAGAAAATACGGTCCAGACTATTTTTTTTCTTAAAGTAAAAAAACGACACCCTGTAAAGTATTCCCCAGATGCTTCAACTATGCCCAAACTTAAATTAGCTCACCGCAGGATGGATTAAAGCTTAAGTTACAAATTTGGTGTTTTTCTCTTCATCCGTTGTCTTCAAAATTCGAAATTTGCACTTTTTCTCAAATATCTCGAATTAGGTTCATTTTATGAAAATCATGTATAGGAACAAAATAATAGATAATAGCATCATAAACAACTTTTATTATGATTTTTATACTTTCCTTATATGTACACAGAAGGGATAGTAAAAAATCGCCGTGACCATATTTTCTTAGGCAACCCATTTGCGGTATATTTAAAAACATATTTTATTTAATAAAAAATAAGTTTTATCCATTAAACAGATGGGTGAAGGTCGACTCTACTTACGGATCCTGGACTATATTGATGATTTTTATTGTAACAACGTTAAAAGCGACGCACAGTGTTCCAAATGACAATATTAGGCGATCAAAATGTTTTGCATGCATAAATTTGCAGGAGATGCTGCTCTTTTAGTATACTTCATACATGATTTAAAGGAAAACTAATATTAAGATATACATTTCAATTTTTAAGTTTATATATATACTGGGTGTATTTTTTAAACCGTTATAGTTAAGAGAAAGATAATTAATTTAAAAAATGTTTAACTTTATGGAAAATTTACCTTACACTTTTCATACTCACTATAGGTGCGACAATTTTTTTGAATTAATTACTTTTTTTTAGTTTTACTTAATATACTTACAGTGTAACAACCGGAAAAGTTTTTATTGTCATTTTTCCCATTAGGCTTTTTTTTATTTTTACTATTATATTTATGATATTCATTAAAAAAGTTGTCACGTCAATTTACATAGAGATTCTTTTAAAAGAGGTTGCAATTATTGGTCACATAATGTAACAAAATATGATTTTCTACGATTAAAATAGTTTGCTTTTTAGAGGAATGTAAAAACCGACTTACTTAATATTGCTATGTATTGTACTTTAACCTAATGTTTACAAATTATATTGATGCTGAGCATTTATTAAACAATTTTACAAAAATGAAAGTGTGATAAAAACATAGAAAGTTATAAAATTGCAAATTAGTTCCATTTAACAAGATATACAAAAATTAGGAAGTCAAGTATAGACAATACTTAATAAATATTACTAATCTATTATGTCTAAATCATCAGAAGAATCATCATCATCTGAAGATGTAGTGGATACGAAATTCTTTTTGATAGTAAAATCTGGATCTTTTAGTACTTTCAACATGCTAACAACCTCTTCGGGAAGCGTACTCAATTTTCTTTTTGGCAAAGGTCTTATACTGGAAATCAGCATGTCAGATGAAATTAATAGGGCATGTAGTAAATCTTCCATGTTTTGTTTTCTGCCAATTTTTCGAGAATTGTGTTGGCGGTAGTATCGACATTCTTTATGACGTGCTTCTAAAGCCTCTTCGCTAAGCTGGCCTATTGGAAGAATCAAAGAATATATGACATCTGCACCGTGGATCAGTATCTTGTGGACGCTTGATGGCATCTTAAACCAGGGATATAAATTCACGAAAAGTCGGGAGAATCCAGAGCATACTGCTTAAATGCTTCAGGATTAAGATCGTATCCACAAGAGATGGCTTGTAAAACTACGGAGAATCTACGTGTTAGAGTCTCATCAATTCCTGTTATGTTTGCTGATAGGGCTGGTTCACTGAAAAAGCGCCTGGCAACGTTTCCATCATTTGTCGTCCCACTTCCTTGACGCACTACATCTACCAACATACCTGTACGTTGACGAAAAGAATTTGTTATTTCTCGTTTTCTTCTTTCTACGGCTTCTTTTTCAGTTGCTGTTATACGCCATTTTTTTACAACTAATTTGTATGAAACATGCAATAAACACTCAAATATTCGAATATGAGCATGAAGGGTTGAGAGACCATATTTATAGGTTTCTATATTGCAATGTCTTTCTACAACTTTGTCAATGTCATTCATGTCATTTGGGGTAGCTTTACAAATATAACATGACTGAGACGAACGATTTTCAGTTAAGATATTTGCCACTTTTCCATCTATCATTGTTTGAATCAAAACATGATTTACGGTTAAACATCGTCCACCGAAATTCAGATATGTTGGCATTAATTGGTTAATTTGATTTGTTATGTACTCACTCTCTTTTTCTATAGATTCCCTACTTTCCTTTATGAATTGGAGATGCAGTGGCATACAAAAACGCGTGGACGATGGCCTCGGATTTTGCCATATTATAGTTTCGGCGTTGTCTGTAACTTTTTTGAATTATAAGGGTACGATTGACGTTATAAGTAAATCTGTGTCTGTCGAATTTGGGTTTTCTGTAAATTTTTGTTTATATAATGCATGGCTAGAGGATCCATCGAAGCCCCATTTGTATCTCATTTCCAAAGTTACTTGATCTTCTTCCGGTACTACGTGATCGATAACATCTTTCTGAGCAATACATAACCGATTAATACAGTGGCATTTTGCAAAGGAACCTGAGCAGAAGTTTCATTTATATTTATATTTTTAGGATAACAATTCTTTTTGGCAGCAAGTATTATATTATACGATGGGTAGATATTGCATTTTCTTTTTTTGGCTTCTTTTCTTATCTGTTTATACTGGGCAGTAGTTAGTTTGGCATTCGTTATAAGCGCAAGTGCTTCTTCAACAGAGTATGGTCGATGATCGGTTTTACTTTTACTCATCTTTTTAAAATGCTTTAGGGTGGTAGGACTAGAGGTTATTGCCTTTTTTATAACACTGGCTGCATTTCTGTTACCGGTTTTGATTAGACTAGACTGTGCTGCAAATAATAATTTTTTGGGCGAATGGCTTGCAACTAATGCTTTTACATGTATTCTTTTCGTTGTATCGCTCGCCAAAGAAAAATTTTTAAGAGGTCTTCCTACTGTTTGAACAGAATTTTCCATAGTTGGCTTGCAGATATAATGCTGTAGCCAGTAGTTATATTGCTTTAAAAAGTTTTCCGACTTTCTTCCACTCGTTTTCCAACGGCGTAAAAAATTCACCGAAAATAAAGAAAAGTCCTTCTCAATATCATTTTCGGGCACATTACGGACTTTATTAACAACAAATTCAACCATTTTTTTTCTGGTGTCGACTGTCGTTGCTCGAAAAATAAGTTTCTCCTGATGTCTGTAAACAAAAAAAATATTGTTTGGCTTGCGCACTTCTGACTAATTTGAGTTTAATAACATTAAATAGATTAATGTAAAGAGCTTCGATTTTAAAATAATCAGCTTGAAACTACGTGATATATTTTTTTTACACTCCATCAAAACTTAAAATTTAAATTAATATTTTCGTTCACTTATTTTTATTAAAGCTTAGAATAGAAAAAATTCTGGATAAAAATAAGACTTATAAAGCATTTTTAATTACCAAAAGAACAATTAGACATGATCACATAAAATATCTAACAAATTATTATCACTATTTTGACACAGGAAGCCTAAAGCTTCATACTCACTAGGGCGAATTTCGCGGATTTTTGACATAATGTGTCAAATTCAGAATATTTTTAAATATGGATTTGACACATTATGTCAAAAATCCGCGAATTTCGCCTAAGTGAGTATGAAGCTTTAATCTGCCTTTTAAATGACAACAATAAAGCACAAACTGAATTTATTGACAGTTGCGCGCAGTAACCGGGGCAACGAACGGCACACTTCGTTTAAAAAAATGATTTTTATAAATTGTTTTGTATTGCCTGGTTATGCAGTTATTATTTATGAGTAATTTGCTTATTATCTGATATTTTTATTTTGTCTATTTTGATCGACCAATATGCTTATCCGAAACACTGTGCGACGGTGTTCGGGTTGCGTTAGTTATAACCGCCAACTTAGTTTTCTTGAAAATTTTAATTCATTAAGCATAAACTCATACATTTTTTTACTCAAATACCATAAGATATTCATATTTTTTGCAACAGACAAAAATGCTACAAATGAATACAGCTCTCCATAAAAAATTAAGGAACAGGAGCGGCCCTCAAAAAAAAAAAAAAAATACGATGCCATTTATGGTAGAATAAGGGAGGTTTTTACCCTACAATGATTTCAGTTGGTGTAATTTTTCCTTTGAACATGAACAATGGCTCTTCAAATAAAATAGCTACATAGCAAATTTTATAAAAATCAAACGAAGCGTTTTTGAAAATGTTCCTTCAATTTTGAAGCTTCCTCACAGGTAAACGAAGCACTTTGTGATATAGGTAATTTTGGCTTACGGTTAAGTCGGTACTTATTTTTATTTCACCAAAATACAGTAGCTCTATATACACGAAATTTTCAAACACTTTTTCTTTATAGTGAAAAACAAAATAACCTTGGTATATAAAAGTTGTCTCTATTTTGTATGCAAAACAGACAATATACATATAGATAAAACAAAGAATAATTTCAACTGAAAAGGAATAAACATCGATTTTCTAGAAGCTAATGATGTAATACATTAATTTAATGTCTAGAACACTCAGTTTGCGTGCCTGCATTATACATGTCTAAATAAAACACGCAACTTCTTATTTGAATTGTCATTTTCTTTGATTTTTGATGATTTACGTTAGGTATATTTCTAACTATAGTAGCTGTGGTAGTATTTATTGTATTGTAAAGCAGCAGAAGTGGTAAATCTTTCAAAAGTACTTCAACGGTTTATACGTTTTATTACTCATAAAAAAATTTATTCGAAAATTAGTATGAAAAAATGATATAGGTAAAAAAAATGATTTAATTATACTTTTTGTACCTATGCATGCTCACATATAAATAAAAATTGTTTAAATAAGGAATTTAAAAAAATATATGAAAAATCTGGAAGTTATGTTTCTATAGTATGTAGCAATCAAAACAATGCAACAAAACTAAAACCTTTAATCCACGACACACGATTCGTTGATAACGTTAACATTATCAGAAGGTAATGAGCTATATGAATATTTTTAAATTTATTATTTACCAAATATTTTGCAAAATTTTGCAGTTAAGATATCACAAGACACCGAAGAAATAATTATTTGCCAAATTTAAAGATTTATTTAGCTTATTTAGAACTGTTTGGTAATCAAAAAATATAATGTGTCCAACACATGACTTTCCTATCTAGTTATAACAGACCTTAACCGGTTATTTTGTACAACCTACTATATCGCCTCTGTAAATGTTTAGAGGATAAACTAAAAAATTGTATATACATGTTTCACATGAAAAATTAAAATTTTAAACTTTTCCTCAAATTTTTCTATTACGGTCCATTTTAGAGAAATCATGTATAAAACAAAAATTTTAGAAATCAATATTGCAAACAACTTTTAGTTTAACAATTTTCTTAAACTTTTGAAATTTTTACATTTTATAAAATTTCTCGAAAAATTATAGAAAATAATAACTTTTACTTGAAGAATTTTCTTCTCCAAATGTAAATAATACCCCCCAGATGTTTCGACTCTGCTAAAATACCAAACAGTTCATCAAAGGTTTAAAATTTGAAGTTTTTCTCTTTATCATTTTTTAAGTTTTCTTCAAAATTCGAAATTTACACTTTCTCTCAAATATCTCGAATACGGTGCATTTTAGAGAAATTATGTATAGAACAAGAATTATAAAGATTAATATCACAAACAAGTTTTATTTGAACTTTTTTTTTAAAATTTGAATTTATCGAATACGGACCATTTTAGAAAAATTTTATATGGGTCAAACATTATAGGGAATAATATAAGACATAACTTTTATTTAAAGAATTTTCTTTTTCAAACGTAAATAACAGATATATTCCATAAAATATCCCCTGATCCCCTAACTAAACTGATCCCCTATAAAGTACCCCCAGATGTTTCCGACTTTGTCCAAAATCTAACACAACAAACAAATTTTGTGGAAAATTTTATTTTGTCGAGGAGAGGAATTTAACGATGTTCCGGCGAACACCGCTAATGATACGCCCATAGTCCCAACAGTTTTTATAGAGACCTGGTGGATATATAAAGACGACCAAAAATTCCAACACGGTGACAGACGCCTAGTGGAAGTCACTGCAAAAGCTCACTTACGCAATACAGCCTCTGAAGCGAAAGCATCTAGTGTTATAATATTCAGTATTTTTGAAATTTCTTTTCAGAGATTTCAATTAAAAAAATATTACCTCCAAACAAGTGTACGATATTTACAAACATCATCCGACTAGGGTCAAGTTATCATATTGCCAAAGTTAACAGTCCTTGGGTGGTGAGACTGCCACACACTAGTTGGATCAGGGACCCCCAAATTACTAACTAAAAATAACTAGCTACATCCACAAACCTTTTGTCATCACCATGGTGGTGACCCGCAAAAACTCCACTGCATCTTCCTCGCAGCAATACGGCCAAGGCCCTAACTCAATGGCAACAATTCCCTCCCCAAACCCAAGCCAAACAAGCTCCATTCCCTCATTAATGAATCAAACCATTATTAAATCCACAAATATCTTCCAAAAACTCAGAGACAACACCCCTCAAAAACCACAACCACGTCACCTAAAACTCCTACAACTACTTCCTCAAACTGACAAACAACCTGGCAATCAACCAGACAAACAACTTCAATCCTCTACAGCTCTCACTCACTCACTCTACGTAATCAGAAACTTACCAACTGTATACTCTACACAAAAAGCCTTATTCAACTTACTAAATACAAACGTATTTTTTAGACAAAACTTAACCTACGTAAAAATTAACTTTAGCAGGACAGCCTACTACCGCCACAAAAACCTCCACCGAACTCTAGACACTCATCCGACAACGAATGGGGGACAACATATAACCTTGAAGGAAATTCAAACGGTTCTCGAGAAACTTAGCATTCCCTATACTAAGGTATGGAAAATACCTTCCCAGAAAACCCAAGAATTTACCTCATTCATCAGAGTATCGATTCCTTTAGAGTATCACTATTCTTACCTAATTCGCGAGGGTTTCGGCATCTTCTGCCAAAGAAACCCCTGTGAGTCCTCTAATCAAAACCCCCTGCCTCTTATCCCCAAATATTGCACCCAGTGCACCGGCCTTGGGCATTCGGCTTCAGAATGCTTAAAAAACTCGCCTGTTCAAACGACGGGCAGCATCACAGGTACCAAAATGCCCAAATTGTTGCGGCAACCACCCCGCTTATTCCATAACCTGCTCAGAACGGCAAAAGCCCCCACGAAAAGCCGAACAGGTAGCGCCTGTCACCCTTCCAACATCCACCCCTCCCCTTGAGCTGACATCAGAGCTCAAAATATCCATCCAAATCTCGACTTTACTGATGAACCTCCTATCAAACAGTCGAGAAATTGTGATCAAACTATTGGGATTGCTAATCCCGGCCATCTTCGGCCATTTATTCACCACCACTGGTCATGGAAACTTAGCCATATTCACCTACTCTTCTCTGATAAAGCCCAACCTTTAATGGATTGTCTAATCTATGAGGCCTTTGATCAAGAACCTTCTAATCACTGAAAACCTTCAAATACTATCTTTAACAGACACTAAGTCTAAACTTCCACCCAGCTTCACTGGATTTCAAACTGTACATAAAAATAAATCCCAAAATTGCTTTAGGAATGCTCTATTAATTAAAAAATCAATTCCATTTAATTTACACATATTCCCTGCTCATCTAGCAGACCTAGACATAATAGCAATAGACCTCCCAATAGACAACCCATTAACCATTATCTCCTACTACAACCGTCCAGGCCAAATCATCTTCACCCCTCTGATAGAATATATATCATCACTTCCTCGCGCCGTTTTGCTTGGAGATTTAAACTCCAGACATACTATGTTCAGAAATCACGCCTCAAATCCAAACGGTATTCGCCTATCCAAACGGTATCCGCCTATCCAAACGGTATCCGCCTAGCCAATCTGCTTGTAGATTTCCCCATATTCAGAGCCTTAAACCGATTTCGGGCCTTTGTTTCTCACCAAGGATCTTCTATCATTGATCACATCCTCTTGACAGATTCCTGTACTGGGTACTTCATTGGAGAGACAATTACCTTCGATCATCTTCCTTTGATGTTACACACATCTCTCCTTATCCCC